ATATTTATTCTTGGCACCCTGTTCTCACAATGCATTTTACTTTTTGTTTAAATGCAAATTATGTTAATATTACTATTAACAAAATGTTATTAGAAATAGATAATATATGCACAGACCTAAAATTTAGAAGGCATAAAGGACATATAGTGAAAAGTTATAGTCTCTCTCCTATACCAGTCCTTAGTTAACCAGTCTACCCAGAGACAACTAATGCCATTTTTTCTTCTGTATCCTTAAGATACTCTATAAATACGTAAGCATCTCTCTCAATATATGAGTATATATATATATATATATATATATACATGCACATATGTACATATATTTTTAAGCAAATGAAAGCATACCATACATAGTTCTTTGCTTAACTTTTAAAATTTAATGGTATATCTTGAATATTATTCCATACCATCATTTTAATTGGTTGTTTAGTATCCCATAATTAATTTGACCAGGCTCTACTATTTGTCTTTTTCTAATAAAAATAAGGCTAAAATGAATATCTTGATGCATATAAAGTTTCTTACATTGAGTATATTTGGAGGATAAATCCATACAACTGGATTTGTTGGTTAAAGTGTATGTGCATTTTGACATACAGGCAAAATGTTTGCCGTAGAGGTTGTGTCAAATTTCATTTCTGCGATTAATATATGAGGGCTTGTTTCTTTACACCCTACTCAAAGCCTTGTGCTATCACTAGTATCCATGTTATATTATTGAAGTTTTAATTTGTATTTCTCCTTTTGATGATATTGAATATCTATTCATGTATTTAATGACCACTTACATTTTTTTAAAAAAATATGTTGTTATTGATTTTAGAGAGAGGAAGAAAGAGGGAGCGAGAGATAGAAACATGGATGAGAGAGAAACATCAATCAGCTGCCTCCTGCACACCCCATAGTGGGGATTGAGCCCGCAACCTGGGCATATGTCCTGACTGGGAATCGAACTGGCAACCTCCTGGTGCATGAGACAATGCTCAACCAACTAAGCCACACTGGCTGGACTATATTTCCTTTGCTATAAACTATTATGTTCCTGTATTTTGCCCATGTAAACATTAGGTTGTTGGTCTTTTCTTATGGACTTTAGGAATAAGATTTTAACTATGGGTTAAATAGGTTTTGTGTAGGTTAGAATAAAAGCCATGTATAAGATTCTTTCCATACAAAAAATATATATCCCAAGTTCTAAGCACCCCTCCTACCAAACAATTAACTTTTATACCCAGTTGTGAATTGGGAGCTGCTTTGATTTCCATCCTAGCTTTTGCATCTTTGAACTAATTGGAAGGTTTTTTGTTTTTTTCTGATAAGATTACGTACTAGGAAAACCCTAAAATAAAATCAATGATTACACTAACTCAAAGAGTAAAATAATTCAGTACTTGGTGAAATATAAGTTACCACACAGAAATCAGTAAGCTTCATTTCCACAAATAATAACCTGTTAAAAGACAGAATTGTAGAGAAAGCCCCCTTTCAATAGCAACAGAAAAGATACAATATTTAGGAATAAATTTAACAAGAAAGGCACAAAATTGATATGAGAAAATTTTAAAACACTTTTAAAAGATACAAACATAGACTTTATAGTCTCTGGCCAGGTAGCTCAGTTGGTTAGAGCCCTGTCCCGACGTGTCAGGGTTGTGGATTCGATCCTGATCAGGGCACATGTGAGTAGCAACCAATGGATGCATAAGTAAGTGCAGCAGCAAATTGATGTTTCTCTCTCTCCTTCTCCCCCTTCCTGTCTCTAAAAAAACTTTTTACATTAATTTAAAAAGTAGGCCTTAATAAAAGTTAACATTTGTTTTTAGATACAACTTAGTATCATAAAAGATTTCAGTTGCCCTTAATTTATAAATTTAATGTATTTTCAAGAAAATAAATATGTAGAAATAGCCGGGAAAACATTAAAAATATAAAGCTTTAAGAAGTCACTATTCTTACCGTACCTTAAAACATACTGTAATGCCTGTAACTGAAACAGTGTGTACTGGTGCATGAGTCAACAGAGAGGCCAGTGGACTAGAACAGAAAGCCCAGAAATAGACCCAAGTATATACAGAAATTAAGCATATGATAAAGGTGGCATCTCATATCACTAGAGCAAAGATAGATGTCTTTATTTTCTTATGAGTGGTGCTGGGACAACTGGATAATCAATTGGGAAAAGATAAAATTAGATCTATATGTCACATCATGCACAAAAATAAATGCCTCTATGAAAAGGAAGCAAGGCTTCTTGGAGAAATGTCTGATTCCAGGGTTGGGGGAGGAAAAGTACAAGATGAATCTAGACTATTTTGTTGTATCAAAAAGTAAGGATTAAAGAGGACATGCCAAAAGGATATGAGTGCCAGACTGAAGAGGCTCCCACTGCCCAACTCAAGGAAATTTGCACACTGAAATAATTATAGCAAAGTATTATAGCATATTGATGGAAAGAAGAATCAATGAGCTCATGGTAATATAAATAAATAAGTGGAGAGAAGGGAAAGTTCTTTACAGCAGAAAGGCAAGTAACAGATAAAGAAGGAATGACTGATTTAGAAAATCATCATTTGTCAACCATACTGATTTATTGAAGCAAGAAGAATTAGTGGATGTTAGAATAAGCAAACGTTTTAAGAATAATATAATATACACATATTCTCAAAATATCTCCCCATAGCCCTAATCGGTTTGGCTCATTGGATAGAGCATCGGCCTGTGGACTGAAGGGCCCCAGGTTCGATTCTGGTCAAGGGCCTGTACCTTGGTTGTGGGCACATCCCCAGTGGGGGATGTGCAGGAGGCAGCTGATTGATGTTTCTCTCTCATCGATGTTTCTAACTCTCTGTCCCTCTCCCTTCCTCTCTGTAAAAAATCAATAAAATATATTTAAAAAAAATATCTCCCCATAAAATACTTATTAATGCCAAGGGTGAAATAGTAACTTTGCAGTGGAGAAATGGCCACCTGAGCAAAGTGTTCAAATAATAGTGCAAATCAACATCATGTACCTCTTAATATGTAGCAGCAAGAACATACAATATCACTCTTGTGATATTTCTGCACAAACCCATAACCTAAGTCTAATCATTGGGAAACATCAGACAAACTCCAGCTGAGAAAGTTTACAATAACTAGTTTGTCATGCATATTATTGTGTTCGATATACAGATGAACACTTTTTAATTAACTCATTTGCACATTTCCAGAGCACTGCTGGAATAAGCTTTTATTTGAAAATGAAGGACATGAGAAAGCTCATTGCAAGTTTAGCTAGTTTCAGAAGCAGTTGCTGCAGATTAGCAGCCATGGATTGGGCAATGAGATTTTTATCAGGAACAGTTACGGGAGAGAAGGACATGCAAGGGCCATAGTTAAAAATTCTCAGTCCTTCATGGTCTCCTAAAGGGTCTTCTTCACATGGAATTTCCAAGTCCTAACATAATGAGAGTCAAACAGCTCTTCAAAATTATTCTTTTTAAAGCTACATTTAAATATTTTCCTGCTAAATTTTATTTATTTACCAGTCAAAAAGTGGATGTACTATCAACTAATCTACTTCACGCAAAGAAAAAAACTATGTATGTAAAAGGGCAACATTCATTAAAGGATAGTTTTCAAAAAAAGATGAAATCATGACCTTTATACAGATATGAAAATGAATACATGTTAAATATTTTAGTTAACTCATTAATGAGGAAACTGGTACAGTGTTAAACCAGTTCAAAGGACAATCCAAAGAACAGATCAGGAATATTACATGTGCAAGTGGAGGTAAAAACTGTTTTTTCCATAGTAATGGGGGTGAGGATGGAGGTGAGGGTGAGGGTGGAGGTGGGGGTCATTCCACTGGATAGAATTCGTTTGCATAAGTGTAAACAAAAATTAGTTTCCATTGCTATCAGTTATCTACAACTTATAAAACTGTAAAGTAACTCCCATGGAATCAGATTCATTACCCTGAAGGGATGAAGTGCCTAATTTTTTTTTTCCCCTTCTACAACTGTTATTATCTGTCTCCAGGCATGGCTTATGCAGAAAGTCTTGGGTGGCAATGGGAACATACTGGTCATAAGGCTAACTTCCCCATTCAATGAGCATGTGGTTCAAGGAATTTCTCCTTCCATTTACAGATTATTTCAGGCAAATGAGATACTATAGTTTTTTTGGTTTACTACTTGATTGTTGGGGAGCCAGCTCTGAAGGGGCTCATATCTGGACAAGCTAATGAGCTACTGAATGCCCACACAGTGCCCCCAAACTCCCAGGGAGGCCCAAGTAAAACTGCACCTTCAAAAGGGCGCTGTGCAGTTGGGGTGTGTGTGTTGAACCCCCTTTTTGCTAGTGGGGAGGAAATGGCTTCACAAGCGTATAGTATTCATAAACAAAATCTGAAACAAAATTTTTTAGACTACTGCCTCATCGCCCTCCCACCCGCACGAGGCTGGATTCTTGCTAGAAGAGTCTACCTCACAGTGGTTCTCAACCTTCTGGCCCTTTAAATACAGTTCCTCATGTTGTGACCCAGCCATAAAATTATTTTCGTTGCTACTTCATAACTGTAATGTTGCTACTGTTATGAATCGTAATGTAAATATCTGATATGCAGGATGGTCTTAGGCGACCCCTGTGAAAGGGTCGTTGGACCGCCAAAGGGGTCGGGACCCACAGGTTGAGAACCGCTGCAACATCGTAGCTCAGGTTCTGGAGACAGAACTGAGTTTAGGCTCAACCAACTACAAGATGGTTTATTCTGAAAAACAAAACAAAACAAAAACAAACGGGCATTATAATTCCTAGCTGCCAGACTTGAAACGGGCTCGGAAATGCTTTGTAAGCTGTTAAGAACAAATCGGCTCCTGTGTTAGGATGCCAGGGTGCCCAGTTCATAGCTGGAAAGGTCAGCGATCTTAGCCCCCATCGAGCATCAACGCGGTGTCCGGGCGCCGGCAGCAGCAGCGCCCCAGCTCCGTCCGCTGGCTCCGCCCCGCCTCGCCGCCGGCCCGGAGGAGGCAGCGGGGCGCGGGGGCCCTGCAGCCAGAGGCCCTCCGGGTGAGGTCCCGGGGCGGGGCGGGCCGGCCGCCCAGTTCCTGGTTCTAAAAGCGCTGCCGGAGGCTGGTGGCGCCAGAGGCGCGGGGCCCGCGGGCGGCGAAGGATGGGCCCGCGCCGTGCAGCGAGCCTGCCCCGAGGCCCCGGCCCGCGGCCGCTGCTCCCCGCCGTCCTGCTGCTGCTGCTGCTGCCGCTGCCGCCGGGCTCGGGCGCCGGGGCCGGCCGGCCGCCCCACCTGGTCTTCGTGCTGGCGGACGACCTGGGCTGGCACGACGTGGGCTTCCACGGCTCGAGCGTGCGCACGCCGCACCTGGACGCGCTGGCGGCCGGCGGGGTGCGCCTGGACAACTACTACACGCAGCCGCTGTGCACGCCGTCGCGGAGCCAGCTGCTCACCGGCCGCTACCAGGTACGCGGCTCGGCCCCAGCTGGGTCCCCGCGAGACGGCGGCTGGCCCCGGGCCCGGAGCCCGCGGCGGTCTCTGCGCATGCCTGCCCGGGCGCCCCGCGTTCCCCACCCCCTCGCCCCGCCTCTTCGGGTGGGTTTTCGGTGTTTCGTTTTCCGATGGTGGGGCGGAGGGTTCTGGGGAGTGCTGGGTGCTGGGTGCTGGGCGCTGGGAGCTGGGAGCTGGGTGCTGGGTGCTGGGTGCTGGGCCTGGGCCGGCGGGAGGGTCGGGATGGACTCCGCGGGGCGGCCCTGAGTGGAAGATGGAGAGGGAGCTGGCGGGCGCCGGTGTGGCAGTGAGAGGGGGGCAGCGCGAACCTGGGGCCGAGTTCAAGTGCGAGCGCCCTCGGTGGGGAGGACTCTGGTCCCCTGGGAACCCAGCCGTCATGGGTTGGGACTGTCTGACCAGAGATTAATGTTTTCCAGTTTCTTGGGCTGCTGACATTTCAGATTTAACCTGTATCCATAACCCCTCTGAGCATCATTATCTCTTAAAAACTTCTCTGTAGTTAATAGAGAAAAGTATACTTGTAGAGAGTGTGCATATATGTTAGATAATTAAGAATATCAAGAACATTTGCATAGTGCCTTACTGCTTTATTATTTTATTGATTGATTTTAGAGAGGCGGCATCGATTTGATATTCCACTTATTTATGCGTTCATTGGTTCTTTCTTGTATGTGCTTTGACCAGGGATTGAACTGCAAACTTGGCATATGGGGACGAAGCTCTTACCAACTGAGTTGCCTGCCCAGGGCTGCTTTACTGTTTTTATTATTTATTTTAATCCTAATCTCACCCCTTACCCGAGGACATGCCCTTTTTTGTTGTTGTTTTGTTTTGTTTTTTAATGTGTGTGTGTGTGTGTGTGTGAGAGAGAGAGAGAGAGGGAGAGAGCGAGAGAGAAACATCAATCAGTTGCCTCTCTTACCCGCAACCTAAGTATGTGCCCTCACCAGGAATCGAACCCACAACCTTTTGGTGTACCAGCCAACAGGGCCAGGGCTGCTATACTGTTTTTAAAGTTAATTCTTGAAACAGCCCACGAGTTAACTGTTATTTTTAATCCCCTTTACAAATGAAACAACCTGTAGAGCAGTGGTTCTCAACCTTGGCTGCACATTAGAATCACCTGGGAATCTTTTTAAAATCCTGATTTCTGGGCCTCATCCTCTGGAAATTCTGTTTCTTTGTTATGGGGTGAGGCCACAACATTAGTAACAAAGAAACAGAATTTCTGGAGGATGAGGCCCAGAAATCAGGATTTTAAAAAGATTCCCAGGTGATTCTACTGTGCAGCCAAGGTTGAAAACCACTGCTATTGAGGTTCTGTTTGGCAGCTTGGAGAAAGGCAACAGGTGTTAGACACTGGGGTCTGATAGGAGCCAAGATTCATTATAAGAGAACGTTTATTTAGAACAGGGGTCCTCAAACTTTTTAAACAGGGGGCCAGTTCACTGTCCCTCAGACCGTTGGGAGGGCCGGACTATATTTTAAAAAAAACTATGAACAAATTCCTATGCACACTGCACATATCTTATTTTGAAGTAAAAAAACAAAACAGGAACAAATACAATATTTGTATTTGCATGTTGCCTGTGGGCCGTAGTTTGAGGACTCCTGATTTAGAAAATCAGAGGTGGGAGAAGTGACTGGTAGCAGAGATGGGTTTAGGAAATAAGTTGCAGAGGTGAAAGAAGGGCCCGTGGCACTTGGGAATGAAGAAGTAACGGTAACTCACCTGGGTGAGGGCTGCGGGGAGGAGGAGGGAGGGTGAAAGGAAAAGGCACTGGCACGCTCCCGGGCCAGGGTCCCAGTCCTCAATGCTCTGAAGGGGATTTTAGGGGAAGTCCCAGGGGAGGATCTCAATAGAATATTCATCGGTTTTCCAGATGTTTCTTTTCAGGGTCCTGGTCTCTACTGATTGGTCAGCTCTAGGGGAGGGGGTCATTAGTCATCACAGCTGGCTCTGGTCTTGCTGCTTTGTTAGGCCTGGAGCTGAAACCACTGAGGCCTAGCAGTTATCCCTAGGGAGGAAAGGTGAGGGGGTCTAAACTGCATGGCCAGCAAGATGCTGGGGCAGGAAAGGCTACCCTGGGGACAAGGTCCCATCTCACAAGTGTCTGCTGCTAGGCTTTCTGCCATGGTAACCTTCTGGACCTGGCCCATCCTCCTTGCTCTCCTCATGTCTGCCTACCTACCTACCACAGTTCCATGACATGTTCAGAACCACACAGCCAGAAAGTACCTAAGCTGGGCTCATGCCTTGCCTGCACCCACTAGTTATCTCAGACCTCTAAAATTGGACCTTTTTTCTTAATCTGAATATGATTGACATTTTTATAAGATCCTGATGTTATCATGACCATATTAAGTACAATAAATGGGAACTGTTTGAGATCACATGCATACCTTCATATAGGTAGATGTACTGTCTATTTAATAAGCATATTTCGAGTCACAGGGGATATTCTTGAATCTTGCCCTCCCAAATCTGTGTTCCTGTAGCCTGTCAGATCCACCCTAGCCTCATGTTGCCCTGAAATCAAGAAAAGGGAGAGTACACTTGTAATAAAGATTTCCATAGTGGTCTGAAGACTTCTAGAAACAGAAAAGAGTTGTACTACAGTCTGAGAAATAGCTGTAGCCAGGGTTTGCCATGGAGATAAAGGGTGGTTTCCTTTACCACCAGAACTAAGTACTTTCCACAGTTCCAACTATGGCTGCTAAGACTAATCAGGAATATCAGTTGTGATGCAGATCTTACCCTGGATGCTTTGTAGGACTAACGGGGTATTTAAATAAGAAGGGAAAGGAGGGAAGGCAAAGTCTGCCCAAAATGGTTCTGCATTTGCTCTGAAGCAAGAGAACTAAACTCAAATTTCAGAAGAATGGGAGGGCCATTCATTTCTCTAACTTCCTCCCTTCCAACAGACTTGAACAGGAAAGCAAATACCACACTTCAAAAACTTGTTCATATAATTGGCTGCTTTGGTCCTGTCCCTTAACATCCTCCCCCACCAGTCACCAACTGGGGGGAAAAACACACACACACAAAAATCCCCCAGGCGTACTTAGAGTACCTTGTAGTTAAGAAGTGAATGCAGGCTAGAAGCTGGATATTCCAAAGCAAGACGTTTCTTCTGTTTTATTCTCATAGAGTTTATGAGACCCAATTAGAAATTACCTTGAGTTAGCGAGCATCCTCTTTTAAAGGAATCACTGTTTCTCAAAGGGTTAAGAAGCCTCATTGTCCTCAGATACTACATATTGGTACTGTCCTGAGCACTTGGATACATTCTCCCAGAAACCCGATGAAGTATTACTGTTATCAGTCCTATTTGATAACAAGGAAATTGAGGCTCAAAATGTTAAGAAACTTGCTCAGTAGCACAAGGCAAGTAAGTGGTGGACCAGGATTTGAACTGGGCAGTGTGGCTGTGTAACCACTATGCTATATTGCTACTCAGAATTATTAAAAATATTTCCTGAATGATCTCTATTATTTTTGGACATTTAGGTTGTTCCTCAACATTTCAATAATAAAAAAAATTCACCCACCATACATTTCAGGTTAGGAATTGCCTATGTAAAATGAAAATAGGGAGAAAAGTTTAATTTCTGAAATAAATCATGTCTTGTGCATAATTTTAGACAATAAAATGAGGAAAATATTTTTATTTTAAAATTAGGTACTTGAAAGAACTAATTAATAGCCACATCTATGAATTTAGCAACCATGCTTTAACATTTAGACTCTAAATTTTAGAAACTCCCCCTTCCCATAATCATTTGACTTTAGATTAGAAAAGAAAAGCATAAGGTGATAAGCAAGCCTAGACTAACTGGTAGAACTTTTTATTTCCAAGAAGTTCGGAGTTTTAGTTTTTTAGCTTACTAAAGTACTTAGCTGAGTGGAACAGTTAAAAATTATGAGATGTGGATTTCATTCTTTGCCATGTCAGTCAGTCTTCAGACTCTGACCTCACTTCTGGAAAATATGGGATTTGAGCTGAACTCTAAGGCTCTAAATTTCTAAGGCTCTCCTGTCCATTAGAGCAAGTGTGGCTTGAGCATTTTGGTACTCACTATCGCCACCTACTGATAGAAGGAGAGATTAACTTTGCTCAACACTGGCAGGGTACTCCAGCTGCTTGTTCTGCTGCTAGAAACTTGTTCAAACAAAAACATGAATTCAAACTTTTCTGTTTAGACCTTTAATTGTTCAGAATCCTCACATATGAACCTTTCTTAAATCTACATGCTTTGTTTAAAAAATGCATAGAGTTTTGGAAAGGGAGAAAGGGAGACTGATATTCAGGTTTCTGTAAACTAGAATTCAGGTTTCTGTAAACTTAGGCCAGTGTTCTTCCCACAGCCCTATATGACTCATTCATTCATTATTTTTAAAATATTTAAATATATATGTATACTTAAATATATTTTTTTATTTTTTAAAATATATTTTATTGATTCTTTACAGAGAGGAAGGGATAGGGATAGAGAGTTAGAAACATCAATGAGAGAGAAACATGGATCAGCTGGCTCCTGCACACCCCTCACTGGGGATGTGCCCGCAACCAAGGTACATGCCCTTGACCGGAATCGAACCTGGGACCCTTCAGTCCGCAGGCCGACGCTCTATCCACTGAGCCAAACAGGTTAGGGCTAAAATCTATATTTTATTTACAGCGGGGCCTTGACTTATGAGTGTCCCGACTAACGAGTTTTTCGAGATACGAGCCGTCTCTCGGCCGATTTTTTGCTTTGAGTTGCGAGCTAAAATTCGGGTTACGAGCCAGCTTCAGATACCCCACCGCTAGTTGGCGCAGCGAACATCACAGTGAACGCCACAACATCAGCCCAGCATCATGTGTCTCACTTGTTCACTTTATGATTTGACATATGAGTAATTTGAGTTACGAGCTCCATCATGGAACGAATTAAATTCGTAAGTCAAGGCC